TTATTTACAATTATGTTCAGATTATATTTGGCAAGAATATACATGGGTATATTACATCCTCAGTGCATTACATCAGAGAGCACATCATGTCAATTTTCCCTTTTGTTGAACATTTATTTAAGTGATTACAAGTCATTTTTTCTGTTGTAATAGTACCTTAGTTTAAGCGATTATTGGATTAGTATTTTCAGAATGTCTAATTATCCATATGTACTTTTACATTCTTTTAAAACTTAATATATTAAAATCTGTGCATTATTTTGATTCGCAAATCGCCCAAATTTGGCCAAGAAGGAACCCTTTTAAACTGGCACAACAAGATATTGTAATTTCCCTGTCCTGGACCTAAAACTACCATTTCCCCAAGGAACTCAGGTTCTTTTTTGTGGAGGAATGATGATACAGAAACCTAGGGCTAGATGCTGGGGCTGCTTATTGATACTGGGTTGTCATTACTGCTGGGCCCTTTTTAGTGGATAGAGCGTGTTTTTCCTTGCAGTCTGTTTGATATCATTTGTTGTTTTGTAATTTAGGGTATGGATTTTTCCCTCAATCATTGGTGATTTGTTTTTATATTTAATTTCAAATCATTAATATTGTTCAAAAATCAAAAGCTTTATTGAAAGGTATATTCAGAGTATCTTCTTACCTATGTCTTGCCATTCTCACCTCCTATGGATAATTGCATTTTAATCCAATTTTGAAGTGTATGCTTTGTTTTTCTTCCAGATGTACACACACACATATATGAATTCTTATTTACCCTTTCTTACACAGTTGCTAACATAGTATGTTACTTAATATATCCTGGATATCACTCCATTTCAGTTCATAGAGATCTTTATTTCTTTTTCACACATTTCCTTTTTTGGATATACCAGATTCACCAAATCTCATGTGTGATCAAATAAATTGTTTCCAATATTGTACTATTTCAAATAGTGTCACAGTAAATTACTTTTTTTTTTTTTTTAAATGTTGGGGTTCTACTTTCTTGGTGGGTTCTTAGAACTAGATCAGAAGAAAAAACAATTTTGATTGATATTGCCCAATTACCTTTCTATAGACATTGTACAATTTTACAATCCTGCCAGCAGCATATGCTTATTTACTCATAGCCACATCAACGGTGTGTTATCAAACTTGAGTTTTCACTAATCTAATGAGAAATGGTATCTCTGTAAAATAGAGCCCAAGTCTAGAAAGCTGTCTTGTGTCTACAGAGAACCACCTGGATTTCTAGTTAAATACAGTGAGTTAAACATCTGTGTTTCTCTCTCCTCTCTCCTAAAGTCACTAACATGAGAATAAAGAAATGCAAAGAACTTGAAAGTGTTTTTTGTTCTTTAATCAAGTGCTGTGCAGTTTTTCATTTAAGTGTCATTTGCATATATTTTTGGTGAAATATCTTTTTAGAACTTTTGCCCATTTTTCTAACAGTTTTGATTTTTATTTTTCTTCAATTTTAAGTGTTTTGGTGTGTTTGTATATATGTACTAGATATTGAACTTAGTAAGGGGCACTGAGCCACATCCCTAGCCCTATTTTGTATTTTATTTAGAGACAGGGTCTCACTAAGTTGCTTAGCACCTTGCTTTTGCTGAGGCTATCTTTGAACTCGTCATGATCCTGCCTCAGCCTCTCGAGGTGCTGGGATTACAGGCCTGTGCCACCACACCTGGCCTCTTTTTGTTTTTGATATATATTACAAAAATTTTTGTCATTTGTCTTTTGGATTTGGTTTTGATTAATTTCACCATGATTAATCTTTTCCTCTTTATTGCATGGTGCTATAGAGAAAGACCTTTAAAAGTTAATTGGAAGTTTTATATGCAAGACTAAGGCTTACAATAGGCAAGAATCTTTGAGGTTTCATTTGACTTAAGAATCTATCATATTCTTAATGGGTAGAGATAGAGAAGGACTTTTTTCAGTGGCCAGGTGTGTGTGTGTGTGTGTGTGTGTGTGTGTGTGTTTTGCTAGGGATTGAACTCAGGGCCTTGTGCATGCAAGGCACGCACTCTACCAACTGAGCTATATTTTCTTCCTGCCCATTGCCATGCCTGGTATCCTCAGTTATATATCTTTCTTCGTTCATTTTTCCACAATAAACCTCTGTTCTCTTGTTCTGGTAGGAGAATGGTAGTTGCTTGCCTGGATGTCATGGATTGGGAGCCTGAAGATCTGTGGGTTTTTTTTTTTTTTTTTAACTTGTAGATAGACACAGTACCTTTATTTTTATGTGGTGTTGAGCATCAAACCCAGTGCCTCACCTCATGTGTGGTAGACAAGCTCTTTACCACTGAACTACAGCCCCAGCCCTAAGGGTCTGTTTGTATCATCATTACCTGAAGAGTTATGGAGCTATGGATTCCGTAGTGAGAATTTATTTACTTTTTTCAGCATTCAGGTTATCCATTTTCTGAGTCCTATTTATTTGTTCATGTGTTTTTTTAATTTTCTGCTGACTTTCCTTAAGTTCTTTTTCTAGAATTTTATTCCTTGTCACTTTAGTGGGTTTTGGGGAGAGGAGAGACACGATGTTTAAATTCACATTGTAAATTCCAGTAGTTTTTTTGTATATACTGTTTTTCCTCCATAGGGTTGCTGGATGATCTCAGTGAAGCTTTTTATAATGTACATTTATTTAATGATTTAGGGTTTGTGTGTCATTACTCAGATAATTCTGATCAGTAGTTCTGACATTGTTCACCTCTGTCTCTGTTTTATGCCCTGTTTAACCTCAAAAGCAGCAAGTTTTTAAATTTCCAAGGAAAAAAGATTGTTGGTCCTTGAAATTTAGTTGCTGCTTTGAGGGCCTCTTTGCCTTCTCCAAAGTTGATCAAATTTCATTGTATCTGATGTAGTCTGTGGTAGGCAATTACTAATTTTTTGTAGTTTGATTTTTTTTTTTAAATGAATCCTCCTCCCCCACTTTTCATTATGGTGGTTTTCAGGAAGTTGAAGTAAAACATTTCTTTTCAAATGCAATTAATATGGGGTTTTACTAATATTTTTTTATATGTGGACACAATATCTTTGTTTATTTTTATTTATTTTTTAATGTGGTACTGAGGATCAAACCTAGTGCCTCACACTTGTGAAGGAAGCACTCTGCCACTGAGCCACAACCCCAGCCCTTAATATGATTTTTAAAATGTTGTTCAAAAGCATATATTTCATTTTTGAAATTGAATACTTGGATGAGAAGCTATGCTAAAACCTTTTCTCAAATCCTTATAAAGTTCTGTATGAGATTATGGTTGTGGTCTAACTCATTTGGTTGCCATTATCACGTCACCATAGAAAGAAGATGGTCCCTGAACCTAGAGAGCTGCAGAATGCCCTTTCACTACTGGTTATATTAGTTGTCTCTAACAGTGCTGCTCCTCCTTCCCTCTGTGTGTTTGCTCCAGGATCTCCCATGTGGACCCTTTCCCATGCTTGCCTATAGTTTCTTTTCCCTTATAAGTCCAGTTTACACACAAGTCAATAAGAGACACTCCACTCTCTCTTGCCTACTGACTTTTCTGCTACTGCTTTTTACTATTGACTAGGATAGTCTCTCACTGTTTCTTAGGCTGATTCAATCAGTTTTTCTTGGAACTCTTTTTGTTTCACTCCTCATTTGTCCCTAGCCAAACTACAAATTGGGATTATATTCCAGCTCTGCTCAAGCGTCTTACGGTGTTGGGGTGGAGAGTGTCGGGAGAATAGTGAGACAGTAGGGAAACATGATGACTGCCTAAGCAGTAAGGAATCAGGGGACGAGACAGTTTTCTTTGGTAAGTAAGGTAGTAGAATAAAACTGACTAATGACCTTTAGTAGGTTTATTTTTAGTAGTCTCCTTTAGTAGGTTTATTTTTAATGGAGTACTTCAGGCAAATATTTAGTAGTTAAAACTAATAATTGTGGGAGACGAACTACTATTTAATTTGTCAAAATTGACAACAAAAATGTGCCCTGGCTTGATGCTGTTGTTACTTGTGTTATGACTTTAGTAACAGTATGGTGAAAAGACCACTTGATACTGTTTTTTTGTTATTATAATGAAATACCCAAGGCTGAGTAACTTTATTTATTCTTCATGTTATTTATTCTTTTTAGATGTACATGAGTATATTTTGACATATTTTTATAAATATGGGTCTGGTAACTTTAGAAAAGTGGTTTCTTTAGCCCATGGTTGTGGAGGTCAAGGGCATGGTACTGGCTGGTATTAGTGTGGCTCTGGTGAAGGCCTCACAGAGGCAAGGAGGGATCACATCATCAGACAGGAGGAAGCTAGAGAGCCAGTAAGAGGTTAGGCTCAGACTTTTATAACCCTAGAATTCCATTAGAACTACTTTAATCCCTTCTGAGGGCATGCCACCAGTGATCTAAAGACCACCCACAAGGCCCCACTTTTTTAGGGTCCCATCCCCTCTTTACCACATGGGGATGAAACTTCCAACACAGGAAATCTTGGGGGACTTACTCATATTCTAGCCAAACCATAGCAACTACTAATGTAGATGTCAATGAGAGGAGTCTTAGATTGTAGGCTGTTTTTGCTGTTCTGAAAGCCTTCACATTCTTCCTTATAAGTTCTAAAAATATTGAGTAGTTTCTAAGGTCCTGTGAGACTGTAAAAACTTGTGACTCTGTGTACCTTTTCAGGTTGGGAAAGGTAATTTTCACTAAGATGGTCGTATTGGAAAGCTACTATAAAATGAAATTATATGTGTCGATAGATTAATGCAAGAAATTAGAAACATGAGAATTACTGGACCAGAACATTAGGAAGAGTGAGAATTCTCATTTGAACCTGTTTTTTTTTTTTTAATGATAGGATGATTTTAATAAACTAATTTAAATATGGTCACAAACTTTTCTCACTAAATTGTACACAAGTACTATAAAGCATTATTGTGTGATATTGAAGTTTGAGATGCTTTTTAAAAATCATAGTTGGATTATTAAGAATAGTCAAGTGACTTGGGTTTCTTTTATTTTTTAGGATTTAAGTGCCCTGTATGCTCAAAATTTGTACCCTCTGATGAAATGGATTTGCACCTTGTGATGTGTTTAACAAAGCCAAGAATAACCTATAATGGTAAGTCCACTGTCCTAATAATTTTAAATAGAATTACCTTACATTTTGTAAATTTCGTGTTTTCAGTAAAATTTAGATGGTAGGAAGGCCCTTGTGCCCTCTGCTAGACCATTAGTCATTCTGAGCTGTTCTCAGGGACCCTTCTCTCAAAAAATTACTGAGAATTTTAGAGAGCTTTTGTTTACTAGGTTATATATGTCAATGTTTGGCATATTAGGAATTAATAGAATTAACCTTTTTTTTACTTAATTCAAGCATTAAATGTAATTATGTTGACATAATTTTTAAGTGAAAAAAGGTAAATTTTCTAAGTCAAAAAATACTTAATGACTAGAGTGACATTTACATCTTACATCTTTGCAAACTGTGATGTCTGGCTTGATGACAAAGAATTCTCAATATCTTTTCTACATTCAGTTGTGATATGACACTTCATGTGTCTTCTGGATACTTCCATTATTACAGAGACAATGGGAATGAAAAAGGCAAATGATGGTTTAGTGTTAATATAAAAATTGTTTTTTACCTTCTAAAACTAAAAAGAATCTCAAAGACTCCCTTAGTTCCCTTACTCCAGAAAATTCTTTTGGGAACTTCTACACTGAAATAAAATATTTCAGGTCAAGCCTAAGTAATAAGTAGTTTTCGAAATGACCATTTTTCTAAAGTAAGCATGCATGGATGAAATTGCAGCTTTTTTCTTAATTATTTAAAGTATATGATAAACAAAGGATACGTATTTAGGAATACAGAATAAAAGTTTGTAAGTATAGTAAATAGATGGCTAAATGGAAGAAAAAAAGGAATGAAATAGAGATGAACTCCACTTATGCCATGCATTTACATCTGTTTCTGTCTTTGTCCCCAAAACATTTCTATTCTGCAAGTCCTGAGGGTAGTTGGTACTTTAGTTAGGTCTGGTGCTTTAGACTGTGCTATTCTTTCTGGACCAAAATCCCTAGCTATTTATTTAGTATCTAGGAGAGATCTTACGTATAGTCTTGGCATACTTTGGAATAAACGTTGGGAAAAAAATCAAGTAGTTTTTTCATAATAAATTGACTAAGAGAAAAGTGAAAGTTCTTCCCCTCAAAATTTTATAAACCGAAAAATTCAGAAGAAAAATTTTAGATGTAAAATTTGGTTTGAAATAAGTCAATAGAATATTAATCAACAGTGAAGCTAGTTGAAAGATGGACTGGATGCTACAAGTATCTTTTGAGCATCTATTATGTATAAGGTATGTGTTAGGAAGTAGGACTATAACAATGAATAAATTAGGGGTGGAGCTTATAGTGTCACTGATTTCTCTGAGCTAAAATTTATTGGTTATTTAAAGGTATTACATGAAAAACATAGTAAGTGTACAAGCAGTTTACTAATCAGGAGATTTCTGAGGTAACTGAAATCTTGGGAAAGGTAGAATTTAATATTGAAATGAACATATTACTTTGGATTGGTGTTTAGAGATTGTTTAGGAATCGGTACCTGCCATACCTCAAAGTTAGTGTTCCAGCCACACTATTATAGTGATGACAGTAGAATATTCTTTCCCATTCATTTGCCAATGAAAATGGCTTTTATAGTTATTTTGTGTAGTAAATGTTCCTATTGGTAATATCCTAACCTTCTTACATTATGAAATTGAATTGGCTATTTTGCATAATTAGTTAAAATTCTGTTACTTAAGAAAAAAAATACTCAAATTCATAGTTTGAGGCTAAAAATGGGCTTGTTTCCAATACTTGCTCCATTATCCTTTCATTACACTCCATAATTAAGTTTACTACAAGTGTCTGGGTTGAGGGTGTAGCTTAATGGTAGAGCATTTACCTAGTATGCCTGACGTCAGCTTGGGGTTCAATACTCAGCACAGTAGTCAATCAATAAACATACTTAAACATACTTAAAGTTTAAGCCTTGAATTGAAAAAGTACAATAAAGTATTTGCACACTTTCTTTCTGTAAATCTAGAATACAGTCTTCTTAGGTGTTGGTATTTAACAGTTTTTTAATTTTCAAATTTTCTATGTTCAAGTCATTAAATTTTCTGCTAGATTGGTGTCTCAAAGAACCCATATATAACTTTCTGCTTGGGGATACTGTAAACCAAAGGTTAAAGTTTTAAGTATTTAGTAGTTTTCCAAAATCTAAAATTAGTAAACAACATGAGAAAAATTAATGAAGTTTCAGCCATTCTTAATGTAGCGAGGCTTGAATCTTTAAAAATTTTTATTAATATTAAACTATATAAACATTCGCTTGTTCCGTAAAATTTATATGTAGTTTTTGAAGTTTTAAAACTAACTCTTGGATGATGGCTTTGTATGAGTAATGGAAGAGAAAAGAAGCTTTTACTTGACTGATTTGGAGGGTCATAGAAAGGTGGCAGATTAGTAAAATGCCTCTGTACTATGGGGAAACTTTGTTTTAAGGGCAGATCCCCTAGACTGCCATTTATAGCAGTGCTGAATTTGTGTGAAAACTAGCCTCTTTAAAGTCTAACCAAGGTATCTAGTATTATGAAATTTAGAGCAAGGTGAGTCAAGGAATCTCTGAAGCTGAATCTTTTTAGTCACCTGGACTCTAAGCTTAAAGTTTTATATTTGAATTCCTAAATGTTGATTCCCAGTCAGATTGATTGGACCTCTAAATTATATTAATTCTCAAAAAAATTTTTTTCAGCATAATGCTATTAACTTATATCTTTCTATAGCCTTTCCTGAAGTAGCTAGACCTGACATTTTGAAATTTATTTGTGAATTGGGTATTAATTTAAATGTCTATAAACATTCACAACAAGGAGAGTAGTTGGGCTGGTTTCAATCTGGATGTGTTTATAGACACATTTCTGAATAGAAAGAGTTGGTAATTTGGAGTTTTAAAAATGCATTCTCACTTTAAATTGATAATTAAAATCAAATTTAAATTGATTATTTAAATATTATTTTGATTTTCAGATTAGCCCACAACAACTTTCTTATTTAAAATGTATAGTATGTCGGGCCAGGTTGAGGCTCAGTGGTAGAGCGCTTGCCTAATACGTGTGAGGCACTGGGTTTGATCCCCAACACCATACAAAAATAAAAAATAAATAAATAAAGGTATGTGTTCTCTACAACTAAAAATAAAAATAAAAAATTCATAGTATGTTTGTGAACACCCAGATCCTAGTATCCAAAGAAGAAAATTGGGTAGCTAAGTTGAAATTGTCAGGGCTTAGGAAGCTGGCTCAGCAGAGCTTCAGGTAGGAGGCCCAGGGCAATTGTGGCAGGAAAGGATCCTGAACGATTGGGTAATGTTACTTACTGGAAGTGGTATTTTGGTAGGAATGAAAAAAATGTGTAAATGCCTCAGTGAACATCAACATTATATTGCCCTTATATCAAGTCAGATACTGCCTATTTTTATTTATTTTTCTCCCTCTTTCATGTGTTTCATTGTTTTGTTTATGGACCTAGTAATTTCTTGTATACTCAGTGACTGATATAAATATTATGAGTATTGATTGAGTCTTGATTTCCTTGTTCAACATCTTCAAAAATAATTCAAAACAAATCAAAAAATGAATTAAATATTAGCAGATTCTTAGTCCTGATTTTATTGAGCTTCAAACTTCATGGATCATGGTATATTTTATATCATCATAAGTTCAATTTTTACTTTAGAAATCTGTGATTAAATGCAGTAAGATTATTTTTATTTATTTATTTTTATTGGTTGTTCAAAACATTACAAAGCTCATGACATATCATCTTCCATACATTTGATTCAAGTGGGTTATGAACTCCCATTTTTTACCCCAAATACAAGTTGCAGAATCACATCGGTTACACATCCATATTTTTACATAATACCATATTAATGACTGTTGTATTCTGCTACCTTTCCTATCCCCTACTATCCCCCCTCCCCTTCCCTCTCATCTTCTCTCTCTACCCCATCTGCTGTTGTTTAATTCTCTCCCTTGTTTTTTTTTTCCCCTTTCCCCTCACAAACTCTTATATGTAATTTTGTGTAACAATGAGGGTCTCCTTCCATTTCCATAGTTTCCCTTCTCTCTCCCTTTCTCTCCCCCCACTCGTCTCTGTTTAATGTTAATCTTTTCCTCATGCTCTTCTTCCCTGTTCTGATCTTAGTTGCTCTCTTTATATCAAAGAAGACATTTGGCATTTGTTTTTTAAGGATTGGCTAGCTTCACTTAGCATAATCTGCTCTAATGCCATCCATTTCCCTGCAAAATCCATGATTTTGTCATTTTTTAGTGCTGCGTAATACTCCATTGTGTATAAATGCCACAGTTTTTTAATCCATTCATCTATTGAAGGGCATCTAGGTTGATTCCAAAGTCTACCTATTGTGAATTGTGCTGCTATGATCATTGATGTGGCAGTATCCCTATAGTATGCTCTTTTAAGGTCCTCAGGGAATAGACCGAGAAGGGCGATAGCTGGGTCAAATGGTGGTTCCATTCCCAGCTTTCCTAGGAATCTCCATACTGCTTTCCATATTGGCCACACCAGTTTGCAGTTCCACCAGCAATGTACAAGTGTACCCTTTTCCCCACATCCTCTTCAGCACTTATTGTTGCTTGACTTCATAATGGCTGCCAATCTTACTGGAGCGAGATGGTATCTTAGGGTGGTTTTGATTTGCATTTCTCTGAGTGCTAGAGATGGTGAGCATTTTTTCATGTACTTGTTGATTGATTGTATGTCCTCCTCTGAGAAGTGTCTGTTCAGGTCCTTGGCCCATTTGTTGATAGGGTTGTTTGTTATCTTATTGTTTAATTTTTTGAGTTCTTTGTATATTCTGGATATTAGGGCTCTATCTGAAGTGTGAGGAGTAAAAATTTGTTCCCAGGATGTAGGTTCCCTATTTACCTCTCTTATTGTTTCTCTTGCTGAGAAAAAACTTTTTAGTTTAAGTAAGTCCCATTTGTTTATTCTTGTATTTAACTCTTGGGCTATGGGCGTCCTATTAAGGAATTTGGAGCCTGA